TATTTAATGCTTTAGCATCTCTGGAATATTGTTCTAAATGCTGAAGCTAATCCGAATAATAGTTTTGGAGATACAGATAGGAATATAATATAATATTTCATTTTTTATGTAAAACAAAAGTTATTGAAAATAGACAGTTTTTTGCTCGAGGAAGCCCAAGTAACATAACCCCGTAGCACTGCTTTCAGTGCCAGCCAATCTAATGCAAAAGGCTTTTTTTAAGGCATGCTTATAATTTTATGTTATGACCAAGAATTTAGCTTTATGATAAAAACAAGGGTGTCGGGCATATCTGTGTAGACAAGCGACTTTGTTGTGGGCTTAACAAATATGCCTAATTAGATGCCTTTCAACCAAAAGTAAGCTTCATCGCTAAACAATTTTTTTTTGTGAACATCGGAAACGCTGACCGTCTCGTTTTAGGCCCATTTACCTAAAGGCTAAGTCTATTGATTATAAAATGGCAAATAAAACTGAGTATAAATCAAGAAATAACCAAACGTGTGAATTCGTCTACTGAATTGTGGTTCGTGCATTTTAATGTTGATATAACAGTACAATTTCACATCGTATGAGTTTGGCAAAAATTAACGTCATGTGAGAGGTAGGCATATGTGTACCTGTCACCCTACTAGGGACTCAAACATATGTATTAAGTCCTTCAGCTGCTCTCTGGTCAATATAGGTAATTACGACTTTTCACTTGTCATATGTCAAAGCTGTCTACTACTGTTATCGATATGTGTTATCATTCATCTCAAATAATATATATTGTCAACAAACGCTGCAAAAAAGTGAAAAAAATGCGAATAATTGGAAAATAATATTGTCACTCCAACGAAAATATTTTTTTATGTCATTTAGACAGATCATGTGGTCACGGCTTCGTGTCGGTCTTTCCCGTTATATTATAAACGCGACAGTTCGTTTATCAATTATTTTAGGTGTACTACCTTATGGCTACAATGCGCGACGCAGACGGATTGTGTCAAAGATTGATTGCCTCATCTACAGTACCCTCATAGATGTGCTTCTAATTACGGTGACGCTACACAAGTGGTACAGAGAAGTGCATGTGAACTGGGATGATGGAAGAGAGTGGTCGCTAACGAGTGCACTTAGACGACTAGTTAATACGGCGCAGTTGTACAGCCACTTTGCGATATTGTGGACCAACTGGAAGGAGTACGACTCCGTGCTAGGCATGCTCAATGAATTTACGAACATGGAGCAGTCTTATTTTGCAAAGCATAAATCTTTATGCGACAATTGTGCGACATTTCACAATTACCTTGCATGGCGTTCGTTTGTTACGCTTTTGAATTACATTGTAATTTTTTATATAACATACGATAGATTCACTAGGATCAGCATATATGTGCTGATCACATCTTTCATCAGAGCGATTCTGGCTAATGTGCTGGTGTTGGCTGTGTTGCAATTTTACACGATTGTATTGGTCATTTACCGCAACATTTGGACACTGCAACAACGTTTGAAGTATTTGGCTAGTTGTGGCATGCAGCGGGTGAATGCCGATAACTTGCGGTGCGAAATCGGGGAAATCGTTGGTATCTACATGCGTTTACAGCGGCTATCCGAGAGAAGCAATAGTATTTATGGCAAACAGGTTTTCCTTTATATCAACGCCATTGTGGGCGATAATACCACCAACGCGTTTCAGTTGCTCTTAATCTGGAAAGCCAACGATTTCTCGTTGTATATTGTATATGTGTTTTATCTCATTGTCATAAGTACCGTAGAATTTTGGTTAATCATAGCCGCTTGTGAGTTGACTTTAAACGCCGCATATGACTTCTCGCAGCTGTTGAGGTCCTTCAATGAGTGCACGCATTTGGATGACAAGTCGCAGCGTGAGGTAAAATTTTAGCTTGTATATCTTATTTTTATGTTCTGAACTTTTTAAAATTTCAGTTTGAAGTTCTGGCGCTCTTTTGTGCTAGTAGAAAACCACGATTCCGTTTGTGTGGCCTAATGGATTTGGATTATTCGAAAGGTTTAAGCATTTTGCTTACAATCATTTTGCATATAATTTATTTGGTGCAAACACACTATGTAGTCTTTCATTATGAATAGGATGAATAAAAGTATTCTGATAGAATTCTTTCTTTACAAACCAATTTATGTATTCAGTATCGTACTTTTAGACAGGAATTGTTGAAAGAGCATTTTCGTCTCGTTTACTAACTAGGATTGAAAGTACTCTGTATTTAACTTCTTGTATTTATATACTTGTCTGATTTCGTATATTATTATTTGGATTGAAAAACAGGAAAAAGGTTTCAAAAAGAAATAAAACGCTTATAATTTTATCTTATGGGCAGAAATTTAGTTTTATTATAAAAATAAAGGTTTATCATTAGACGAGAGGCCCAATTTCCGACCACTTTTGGTAGCTAGTGGGGCCGTCATTCGTGTCTGTCTTATCTATGTAAACAACCGGCTTCACATAAATCCACAACAAATAGTCCAGCGGTGTTAGCCAAAGTGAGTTTCATCACTGAACAGATTTTTTTTGTGTAAATCGGGATCATGTGCAAAACCGTACTAAATTGTGGTTCCCAAGTAGACATAACAGATGGAGCACCCTGTACATCATCTAAACGTGCATTTTATTGTTGATATAATAGTACAATTTCACTTTGTATGGGTTTGGCAAAATTTGCCGCCATAAAAAAGATACCCCCTTTGCCTGTCACCCTACCAGAAACAAACATATGTATTTATCCCTTTAGCTGCTCTCTGTTCAATATAGCTAATTACGACTTTTTACATGTCATATGTCAAAGCTGTCTACTACTGTTATCGATATGTGTTATCTTTCATATCAAATAATATATATTGTCAACAAACGCTGCAAAAAAGTGAAAATAATTGCAAATAATTGAAAAATAATGTTGTCATTCCAACGAAAATATTTTTGTATGTCATTTAGACTGATCATGTGGTCACGGCTTCGTGTCGGTCTTTCCCGTTATACTATAAACGCGACAGTTCGTTTATCAATTATTTTAGGCGTACTACCTTATGGCTACAACGCGCGATGCAGACGAATTGTGTCAAAGACTTATTGCCTCATCTACAGTACCCTCATAGATGTGGTTCTAATTGCACTGACGCTACACAAATGGTACAGGGAAGTGCGTGTGAACTGGGATGACGTAACCGAGTGGTCGCAAGTGATGGCACTTAGTCAACTAGTTAATGCGGCAAATCTGAATAGCCTGCTTGCGGTACTGTGGACAAACTGGAAGGAGTACGACTCTGTGCTGAACATGTTCAATGAATTTGCGACCATGGAGCAGTCATATTTCGCAAAGCATAAAACTTTATACGACAATTGTGCGACATTTCACAATTACCTTGCATGGCGTTCGTTTGTTATGCTCTTGAATAACATTGTAATTTTTTATATAATATACGATGAATTCACGGGGATCAGCATATATATGCTGATCACATATTTCATCAGAGCCATTCTGGCCAATGTGCTGGTGTTGGCTGTGCTGCAATTTTACACGGTTGTATTGGTCATTTACCGTAACATTTGGACACTGCAACAGCGTTTGAAATATTTGGCTAATTGTGACATACAGCGGGTGAAAGTGGGTAACTTAATGCATGAAATCGAAGAAATCGTTGCTGTCTATATGCGTTTACAGCGGCTATCCGAGAGAAGCAATAGTATTTATGGCAAACAGGTTTTCCTCTACATCAACGCCATTGTGGGCGATAATACCACCAACGCGTTTCTGTTGCTCTTGATGTGGAATGTCACCGATTTTTCGGGGTATATTGTGTATGTGACTTATGTCATTGTCATAAACACCGTAGAATTTTGGTTGATCATAGCAGGTTGTGAGTTGACTTTAAACGCCGCGTATGACTTCTCGCAGCTGTTGAGGTCCTTCAATGAGTGCACGCATTTGGATGACAAGTCGCAGCGTGAGGTAAATTTTTAGCTTGAATATATTATTTTTATGTTCTGAACTTTTTGAAATTTCAGCTTGAAGTTCTGGCGCTGTTTTGCGCTAGTAGAAAACCGCGATTCCGTTTGTGTGGCCTAATGGATTTAGATTATTCGAAAGGTTTAAGCATTTTGCTCACAATCGTTTTGCATATAATTTATTTGGTGCAAACACACTATGTAGTCTTTCATTATGATCGGAATGAATAAAAGTATTCTGAAAGTATTCTTTCGTTACAAACAAAATTATAAACGCAGTATCTTACTTTTGGACAGGAAGTGTTGAAGGGGCATTTTCGACTCCTTTACTAACTAAGATTAAAAGTGGCTTGTATCAGAGCGAATATTGTATTTAACTTCTCATACAAGTACTTCTGATTTCGTATATTATTATTTGGAGTAAAAACATGAAAAAGTTTTCAGGAAGAAATAAAACGCTTATAATTTTATCTTATGGCCCGAAATTTAGTTTTATTATGAAGATATAGGTTTACCATTAGTCGAGAGGCACAATTTCCGAACACTTTTTGTAGTCATTTCGTTTTGTTGTTTCGAAGTAAGTCTGTTTATTATGAAATGGCAAATCAAACTGATTATGAATCAACTAACAGCGGTCAAAAAGATCAACCCCGAAAAAATTATTGCTTTATTAAAAATCACACGTCTAAAAACCCCCGTTGTGTTTAGCCATATTCTAAGCGTGTGAATTCATGTGCAAAACTGTACTGAATTGTAGTTTTCAAGTTGACATAACAGATGGTGCACCCTGTACATCATCTAAACATGCATTTTATTGTTGATATAACAGTACAATTTCACATCGTATGGGTTTGGCAAAAATTATCGTCATGTGAGTGGTAGGCAGAGACATAAGTATGTATAAATAAAAGATACCCCCTTTACCTGTCAGCCTACCAGACACAAACATATGTATTTAGCGCTTCAGCTGCTCTCTGGTCAATATAGTTAATTACGACTTTTCACTTGTCATATGTCAAAGCTGTCTACTACTATTATCGATATGTGTTATGCTTCATCTCAAATAATAAATACTGTCAACAAACGCTGCAAAAAAAGTGAAAAAAATGCAAATAATTGAAAAGTAATGTTGTTGCTCTAACAAAAATATTTTTGTGTGTCATTTAGACAGATCATGTGGTCACGGTTTCGTGTCGGTCTTTCCCGTTATATTATAAACGCGACAGTTCGTTTATCAATTATTTTAGGTGTACTACCTTATGGTTATAACGCGCGACGCAAACGGATTGTGGCAAAAAATTATTGCCTCATCTACAGTATCCTTATAGATGTGGTTCTAATTGCGCTGATTCTGTACAAATGTTACAGAGAAGTGCGTGTGTACTGGGATAATATAGCCGAGTGGTCGCTAATGATGGCACTTAGTCAACTAGTTAATTTGGCGCATTTGTATAGCCACTTTGCAATACTGTGGACCAACTGGAAGGAGTACGACTCTGTGCTGGACATGTTCAATGAGTTTGCGACCATGGAGCAGTCATATTTCGCAAAGCATAACATTTTATGCGACAATTGTGCGACATTTCACAATTACCTGGCATGGTGGACGTTTGTTATGCTCTTGAATAATATAGTATTTTTTTATATAATACGCGATAAATTCACGAGAATCAGCATATATATGCTGATCTCATTTTTCATCATAGTTATTCCAGTTAATGTGCTTTTGGTGGCCGTGTTGCAATTTTACACGGTTGTATTGAACATTTATCGCAACATTTGGACACTGCAACAGCGTTTGATATATTTGTCCAGTTGTGGCTTACAACGGGTGAACGTCGATAACTTAATGCGTGAAATCGAAGAAATCGTTGTTGTCTATATGCGTTTACAGCGGCTATCCGAGAGAAGCAATAGTATTTATGGCAAACAGGTTTTCCTCTACATCAACGCCATTGTAGGCGATAATACCACAAAGACGTTTCTGTTGCTCTTGATTTGGAAAGGCACCGATTTTTCATGGAACAACGTATATGTGTTTTATCTCATTGTCATAAGTACCGTAGAATTTTGGTTAATCATAGCCGCTTGTGAGTTGACTTTAAACGCCGCATATGACTTCTCGCAGCTGTTGAGGTCCTTCAATGAGTGCACGCATTTGGATGACAAGTCAGAGCGTGAGGTATATTTTTAGCTTGAATATCTTATTTTTATTGTATATTCAGAACATTTTAAAATTTCAGCTTGAAGTTCTGGCGCTGTTTTGTGCGAGTAGAAAACCGCGATTCCGTTTGTGTGGCTTAATGGATTTGGATTATTCGAAAGGTTTAAGCATTTTGCTCACAATCGTTTTGCATATAATTTATTTGGTGCAGACACACTATGTAGTCTTTTATTACGATGGGGATGAATAAAATTATTCTGAAAGTATTCTTTCTTTACAAACCAAATTATGAACACAGTATCTCACTTTTGGACAGGAAGTGTTGAAGGAGCATTTTCGTCTGCTTTACTAACTAAGAATGAATGTTGCTCTTATCAGAGCGAATACTTTGCCACATCAGCTTCTTCAACCTTTTTAGACTGTTTTAATTTCTGCTAAAATGGTGTGGAATTTTTCGATTCACTGATGATCGTGTAAATACAATAAATGAAATGAAACTGATATTTTATATACCGATTTTCAAACAATCCAGATGGGGGATTTCTTGAGCGACAGCAGAGAAGTGCAGTCGCGTTGTCGTTCTCTTCGAATTTTCTTAAGGCATGCTCATGTAATTTAGAGAATTGGTTATTATGAAGTTTTAACAAGCAGTGGAAACAAGTTGCAGCAATCTAGCTGAAAATTTTAAAACTAAAATACATACAAACTCTCTGCGAACTCTAAACGAGTGTACATCGATATATTTAATTGAAATTTGTCGTGCGAACAAAAGGTGTATAACCTGTAATATGTCAAAGCTGTCGATTTTTGATAACACCAAGTGCACGCAGTACCATAGAATGAAGGTCGACAATAGACTTCGCCATCAGACGACAGCCGGCACTCGGGGAGGTAGTTATGTGGTCGCACTGGCGTGGCGCTGTTATTCAGCTAATTACAAATTCTACAATTTTCGCTTCCATTGCACTCGGTATATTACCTTATGGCTACGATAGACCACGTCGGCGAATTGTGTCATCGAAATGCTGCTTGATATACTGCATTTGCATTGATGTCATAGTAATTTGTTTGGCGCTGTATGTATGGCCTAAAGAGAAGCTGGTGAATTTGGAGCGAATATATTATTGGACTCTGGTCGAACTGCTCTGCCGATTCATCATCTTTGTAAATATAAGTGCTTTGCTTGTGATTATGTGGACCAATTGGAGTGAGTACACGTGTGTGTTAGGCATTTTCAATGAGTTTGCAGCAATCGAACGCACCTATTTTGCCAGACATGAACGTTTAGCCAAAAGCTGTGTTACATTCGAGAAATATTTGATTTTAAAAAGTCTGGCAATGCTTTTTAAGAACATGTCATTCCTTTACGTCGTCTTGATATTGTTTAAGGATATGAGCTTCTCCACCGCAGTGGTGCATACAATCGCAATGATTATGGTTAATGTCATCGCTCTGGTGGTTTTCCATTTTTACATGTTCATCTTGTTCACTTACCGTTATATTTGGATAATGAAGCAACGCATCAAAATAATCGCCAACTATGTTGCGTCCAACATAGATTGCGGTACTTTACAGCTGGAAATCAACGAAATCACCGGCGTATATATACGCATATTGCGCGTATGCCAGCAATTCGGCCGCATTTATGGCAAGCAAATGCTGCTCTGCATCAGCGGCGTTGCGTCAGTCAATGTGTTGACATTAATCACACTTCTCTTCGTCTGGCGTTCCACCGACGATACGCTGAATATTATATATTGTTGGTATGTGATCATCATAAATACTCTCGACTTCTGGCTGATCATTGCTGTTTGTGAGTTAGCTCTGGGCACGGCGTTGCAGCTGGTGCAGTTGCAACGGTATTTTAATGATTGTGCGCATTTGGATGCTGCTTTGGCAAGAGATGTTAGCTATTGTTGTAAGTAATTGTGGTAATTATGTGCTAAATATTTTTTTTTTATTTGCAGCTGGAGACTTTGGCTTTAGTGTGCGCAACGTGTTCACCGCAATTTCGTTTATGTGGCCTATTGGATCTGGACTATTCAAATGGTTTGAAAGTGTTGTTGACTGTTATTTTATTTGTGATTTGTCTTGTTCAAATTAATTATGAGGATTTGTGAGTCTTGAGTGGTTTTTAATTACAAAAAATTTCAAAATTTCTTTGGCAGTGTGTATATTCTGTGAAATTAGTTCCAATAAATCATTAAAAAATTGTTTTCAGGTTCTCGAGTGCCTGATTTGCGAGCATGCGCATAAATTAGGCATGTTATGCATTTAGTAAGATATCTATCTATCTATAGTTATCATTATAATATCGAAAAAGCCAAAAAATGATTATTCAATAATTAGCGTTAGAGAGGCGCGTGCTACAGTATGAAAATATCTAAAATTTCACATAAATAACATACGAGGCGAAGTCGTAATAGAGATGTCTATCGACGAGAAGTCAATGGTAAGACTTTTGGTTCACTAGATTTGCCTTCCGTTGAGCTTTTCCGTTTCTCAAATTTTCGAATATTTGTTCAGAACTTTATTGACTCCGTCGACATAATGTCGCAGAAGGAACTAAAGTTCATTATTAGTTGTCTTCGTTTCATCATTTCACTGCTCGCTTCTGCTCTTTTGTCAAAGAAACGTCATGTAAAAGTAACAACAAATGACAAGTAAGAGCAGAGAATGTAAAATATGATATACGTTCTCTGGTAAGAGTGGTATAGCCGCTATCTTCAATGCTACCAAGTTTTGTTTCGCATATTTTAGTTCAGATTTACTATTGTGAATGGTTCAAATGACAAATGAAAATAGAAATTTCTGTTTTTATAGTATTTTTCAAAATTAACTCTTAAAAACAATTACAGTTATTTATAGAAAACAAAAATAAAGGGTTACTGCAGCATTCTTTAGAGAGAGCGACGCTTGGCGAATCGATTATTAATTAAAATTCAATTGAAAAGCATAAAAATATCCGTGTTCTCGGGCTTATAATGCCAAACGTCGAATTGATTAATGGGTCTGTTAATCTTTGGTCTCTTTCGGAGTCTTGGAGCTTTGGATTATTCTTGAAGAAGGCTGGTTTGAAATTGTATTGAGCATAAAAGTTGTTAGATGAGCGTTTACTGAACTCCTCTAACCGCCGAAAGTTTTTTCTTATAATTTCTATATAAAATATTTTTAAGGTGTTTTAAAGTAAACAACTTGATTATTTTAGGCCTGATAAACTAATTTCAATCCTTTAATTTAAATTTAAATTCCTTGTAGGATTCAAAAATATTTATATGAATTCGCAGATAAATATTTGTTGTCATTCTCTTTTTTTTTACATCAGCACACAAAATAAACTTTGTTTTACTTTGTCCGAACAAGTTTCTGCCGATGGAATATTTTTGCAACAAAAGTTTATTAACATCAGTTTTCGACAAACAATGTGTTGGTCTACTCTTTTGAATCTGTTGTAAAGTTTTGAACTGCTATGAAACTGTAGTTTGACTAGTCAGGCAAACAAGCAACAGGTCAGCGTCAGTTGTTAGATTTCAGTATAAGCATACCAAACTAGTATTCAAAGTAAATGAAAACTGTTGAATCATTATATACCAAGCTACTAGGATGAAGGGTACTATAACAGCAAGCTACAATACAAGACGCCATACCCAAAATAGGTGCTTCTTGTGCTTACAGCGCCAAGTGTAAAATACAACAAGTAGCCGGAATTTTTTATATATCAACAAAATCCTCAGCAAAAAATTAATTAATATATAAATAATTCCCGCACAATTGCTGTTACGGTACTTTTTTTAACATTAGTATTCGTATATTTTTAATAAGACTAATTAAATAAAGTCAAATTTGTGAACAAGGTCGCTCAAAGCGATCAAAGTGCTTAACTTTTAAGATGTTTTCCACCTAAATCACATTTATTACACGCCTTTCCCGATGAAAAATAGAAAAAAAACAAAAACGTAATGCAAGCAAGCGCTTTCAAAGTCACGGTCCATTTTTTAAGCACTTATCGCATCCACTTAAAATATTCAACTTAACGACTTACTGTTAATTCTGCAATATTAAACCTTCAGCATTTTCTCTTCAACGAATAAAGCCTTTGGCTAAATTTTAACCCCGCCTTTACGCACTTACCGCAGATGAGCGAAATTAAAAGCTTAAATAAAACGAAGCAATAAAGATAATTTAATGAGATATATGCCATGTAAGCGAAGCGTGGCAACAATTTATTTACATAAAGCACGATACTAACTTTGTTTGCTTGTATTTGATACAAAGCAGTATCCACAGGGAGCGTAAAATGCGCGCTGCAGCAATGCAGTCGGCGCTAATCGGTGGAGTCGATGCGTCGCACCGTCGGGAGAACGCAAGTTGAAAGCGGTGCTTAGTGTAGACTTAAGAACGAACGAAACGAGCAGTGAAAAGAAAAAAGATATACACAAAATATATTCTGTCAGCTTGTATAATATATAGTGAGTAAATAAATTGTAAATTTGCATGCGGTGTGATTAACATTCGCTGAAAAATTGAGAGCAGCTCCAACTGCTAGCGCGTGTAATTTTGCAGTGAATGCGCGCAGTGGTCGAGCAGGATTACGAACTTGATAAAAATATATGAAATAAGTAAGGTTGTTAGGGCTTTGACTAGGCTTTGACAGTAGCTTAGACCCTCTGGAAAATTATGGAAACCACAGAAGTTATATTTTATACACCTCAAGTTGTCTACTCAAAGTCCGTATGAAAAAAGATGTCATAGAAAACAATATTTTCATTTGGGTGTTGGGCTTAACTATGGATCCATCGGAGGAGTCTTAAATGCTATATCTATAAATTTAGATATTATATTTTATGTGCTAGGATTAGACAAAACATGCACCGATTTTTTCCATATGTGGAATATCTTTTTTTATCTACTGTAAGCTACAACAAATGGCGCTGTTTTGAAACTAAGCTTCGATGTGATACGAGCTTCATCATCTATTTTACATTATAGACGTATTTAAACAGAATATATCACGACCTAAATTGATCTTGATGCTTATCGCATAAATTCCCCGACATTTCTCAAATGAAAAAGTTTTTCATTGAAGCACTTCCTTCCGATCGTTCAGTTTGTATGGTAGCTATATGCTATAGTGGTCTGATATCGGCCGTCCCTACAAATGAGCAGTTTCTTTGTGAGAAAAAGACGGGTACAATAATTAAGAGCGATATCTCAGAAACTGAGGGGCTATTTCGCATATATACAGACAAACGGACGGACAGACGGACATGGCTAAAGAGACTCAGGTAGTTATATGTAAGAAGGCGTGGAATCATCCAGATACTTTCTTCTCAACTGTCCAGATTTTGCCAGACTGAGGTTGAAACATCTCGGTAGACACACTTTCGGCAGACCAGGCGATGTAGCTGGTATTGATATTAGCTGCCTGAACCTTTTAGCAAATAGGAGTTTTGGGGATCACAAAGAAACAACGTTCACAGCTGTCCAAGTGGGATCATGTGTCGCCTTTGGTACGAGGATTAATTAGGTCGTAGCTAACTTAACCTAACTCTTGCACATACGCCTAGACTTTCATGGTCCTATCGATAAGTCTTTTCAGTTCGAATCTCTTGAAATCGATAAATCTAGATAGAACTTCGTATTTGCTATTGTAAACTACCGTTAGTATGAGCAAAACTATTGTACTTTCTACAATATGCTACGAGGGTATAAACTAACTAGACAAAAAAAAAGGAAGAAGTCGAATGGGAGTTTATAAACTGACGATTTTACGCTTCGTTAAGTTGTTAAGTGCAACGGCTAAATAACGGTTATGGTGAACTATGAAACAGTTAGACATTAGAAGAGCATGGGAGAGCCGTTGACCGTACCCAGAAAGCAAAGGAAGTTAACGGGATAATAATACAAAAATTAAATATGACAACACACGCTATGAGTACAGTTATAGTATGCACGAACCAAACATACATATTGTACATATATCCACAGCGCACAGCAAACAGCGATATTCAGAGCGCCAAAAGTCTGTGCAAACTTTAAGCCAGAAGCAGGAGGCGGCTTGCAGCACAGTCAGGCAATCTCAATTCATGTCCTTGTAAATCAAAAGCCTTCCGCTGCCGTGCACAACACGTAGCTCAATGATAGTGTAACTAGTTTCAGCTACTAACTATAGTAATCAGCAACATTGCGCATAAACCAAAACTCGCCTCTAATCCGAACATATGTATATGTGTATTTCTGTGTGTGTGTGTGTTTTTGTTGGTTTGGAGCGCAGCAGATTCGGTTGCAGTCATACTGAAGCTCAAAGTGCACAATTGTCGCCCGACGGGATGTCATCAAAGTTGCGTTGTTGTGACCGACATTCGTACAATGCATCAGGCGCCTGATTGTATGCTACCACAAAACGACAGGCAGGTGTGTGCCCCGGCAGGAAAGGAAAAAAGTTCAGTTGGCAGACATACAATGTGGAAGCATCATACCTACGTTCACGCTGACTTCTGTATATGTGTTTGCACATGCAGGCATACGAACGGAATTCATATGCCACACGGGGTGTTGTGAAGCGTATTGTTTGGTTATTAAGTTCGTTGACTGTTGAGTTGGCCTTTGTTTGGCGAGTTATCTGTCGTTGCGTGCGGTAATTTAATGCCCCACGGAGGACTTGAGTTTTTAATTTAACTTTGTTTAACAGATAGTTTGCAGCATTTAATAATGAAAATGTGTATGCAGGCGAAATTGACTGACGTAATTGCTAATAAATCAGCATAATTGAAGTGTTAAAGCAAGTGTACCTTTAACGGATTTGTATTATATTTACAGATTATATTCATTACACCAAGAGATTAATTATAAATTATGTCATCTATATTCATATTCTATTGCCGGAGTTGCAGAAACCAAATATTTTTAATCGATCCTACTAAATTCTATTTAAATTTGTTCATAAACTTAATCTTATTTATTTTATTATTATATATCGTTTATATTCGTTCCTTGATCACAGCAATTTATTAGATCCAAATTTAGATCGGAACGTTGTAGCAAATAGGTTAAGTTTGGTAAGATTCGAATCTTTCCCTGTTATCTAGTAATAGGAAACACAGGAAGACTGGGTTATCGAAAT